GTCCCATTAGATCCCTCTCTCGTCGTGGGCCCACGACCACGCTTGCGATCGTCTCCATACAAAACTGATTTGTTCGTGCCAGCGCGAAACTTGATTTATGTATGTCGTGTCGACGAACGTTGCTACAATCACACACGGCGATCTGCATACATGGAGGCCCTTTGTATCGCGAGCTACTCACGCCTTACTGCTGTACGAGCCCCGTGAGTGTCGGCCTCCCTGCGTCGCCCCCTCATCGCGCCTAGGACCCTATAACAGGCTCTCTTTGTTGCAAGCGCCGGCGACGCGCCACCCCTCAAAAGGCTGTGGGACACGAGCGTCGCTTCTGGCCCAATCGTTGATGGTCGCCAGGTGGCGTGGTAGGATCGCAGCGCCTTACATTGCCCGAGATAAAACACGCACTCTGTACCTGTGAGCAACGCCGGTCGCAGGTGGTTTTGCGACCACGAACAGGTGGCTGTCGCCCTTTCCCTGCCTCTCCCCGCCGGCTTGACCACTCGTGCCATTCCGCTTTTGCAATATGAACGCCACGCCGTGTCTGTTCAACGAGTGCGCACACCCCGCCGTGCCGGGCACGCGCAAGTGCAGCTTCCATAAGAACCGCATCAAGTGCCATGTCGCCAACTGCCAGAACCAAGTGTACGCGCGGCACCTCTGCGTGCGGCACGGCGGCAAGAAGCAGTGCCAGTACGAGGGCTGTGTCATGAACGCGCGCGTCGGCAACTTTTGCTCGCGCCACGGCGCCAGCAACACGAAGAAGCAGTGCATCGAAGAAGGCTGCACCAAGATGGCGCACGCCAAGCAAAAGTGCGTCCGCCACGGCGGCGGCCGCAAGTGCCGTGTCGACAGCTGCAAGGCGCATGCGCGCACGGGCGGCTATTGCTGCCGCCACACCAAGCAAGTCGAGTCGAGCACGAAGAAGGAGCGGTCGCCGATCCCGCTGCCCGTGCTCTATGGTGTCCTCCCGCCGCTCGGCCAGTCGCTCGCGGCCGCGTCCAGCTCGATGGTGCAGCACGACTACGACCGACCGTACCTGCCGCCGTCGGCGTGGCACGAGGCGTCGCACCTCCCGCCGTCCGCGCCGCTGCCGTCTCTGAACTCGTTCCTGCCGCCGCTTCGGTGCTTGGCCGCCCTCGCCGAGGCAAGCGCGCCCGCGCCCCGTATGGAAGTCAAGCCGAAGAATACCACGACCAACAACACAAATGCGACCCGCAACGAATATGCGGCGCACAGCGACTTGGCTGCCAAGGTCGAGTATGCGCAGGGCTTTACCGCCTACGAGCAGCCGCCGCGGCCTCTCTCGCCAGCCTAAGATATTAGAAGATGACGTAGTTTAGTTAATTAGTCGTAGCAATAG